AACTTGAGCTAACTTTTTTTCTGATTCATTATGAAAATGCAGTGTTCCCAGTTATTCACAGAATTTTTTTGTTTGTGGTTCCTGGATTTTTCTGCTTCTGTTGAATGGCTTTCAAGGAGAGAAGAACTGGGAAAAGGATTAAATATTAGGCTGCAGTTGAAAGTGATGATTTAAGAATTCTTTTCTAAAAAGAACACTGTGCTGCTTGTGAAATGTGTCCTGTTATTATCTTTGCCAGCTACAAGAATCAGGCACTTATTCACAAAGGCTTCAGAAACAGCATGGTCTATTCCACCCCAGTCCCTCTCCTTTAGTAAGCCTTCCATGTAGACATCCAACATTTCACCTACATACATATCTGTAGCTGTCAGGCAGCATGAACAGAAATCCCAGGAAGCCACAAGATTGGGCAGCCAGCAGCACTGAGCAGCTATCCAGCCATGACTTCTGCAGAGTTTATACCCTCCAGATAAGGGTACAACAGTAGAATAGTGGTCAAAAGCAAGAAGATGGTTTATATGTGGCTAGTCAGGAACAGACACACTTGGCAATCTAGGACTGGTCAGGAACATGGGTTTTTACATAAAGTTGGATAATTGAAAGAGACAGAAAAAAAAATCTCTTAAGTGAAGGGTTTTTTTAATTATCAGGGGCACTAGCTAGAGCTAGGGAAAAGCCAGTCTTTTAAAACATGAATGCCTACTGAGTCAATAGCAGGTTAATTCAAAAATGTAATTTATATTTCAGGACCCCAATCTGAGTGATATGAAAGTTTAAATAAGCAAATATAACCTATTCTGCAACGGTCTTTCTCTTTCCCCCAAATTGTAGCATTTCTTACATTTGATTTTTCAGTGTAAGTTCTACAGATTGTGAAATCAAGACACTAAAATATCTTGTGAAATTTACAGGTAATTAATAGATAGTATTTTTCAGTCAGATCCCCTACAGAAACCACTGTTTTACTGTTTTTTTGTTCTCCACTAAGAACTCTGTGTTTAGGAAATATTGATGGCAGCTTCTCCTAACAAAACTCAGAAAGGTAATTTAAATTATTTATTTTAAATTATCAAATTCATTATTTTTGTTTGCTATTTGCTAATGACTCAAAACTCCAAAAATATGCATATAAATGAAAGAACCAGCTATGAAGGTACTTGCTTGCTTTCATTTTTACTTCAAAGAATGACTACTATACTTACCTCTAATACAGCATGGAAACCACTCCTGTGAGAATACTTGGAGCAACCATTTTCATCCACTTATAAACTGGATTTCATTGGCAACCTGTAACCACAGTGTAATGCTGTTGGGTTCACAGATACTAAGGATGTGGATATAGGTTTACAGTGCAGTAGCTGTAAACTGGAGTGCTTCAGTATACGTTGTTCTTTTCTCTCGATGCATACTTCTACCTTGGGCAGGGTAATTTTATCCTCCCTGGATACTGAGAGACATATTTCAGGTTAGACTCAAGCACTTGGGTTATTACATTCATTACATTCATTTCCCTCAAGGGTCAGTACTAGGACCAGTATATGCAGATTACTCCACCTTAACTCCATTAGACTGAAATTAAATTAAAAGCTGCTTATCTATTAGCTCCTCCCTGACAACAGATAGCAAAGGACAGAAACAGCATTTTCTTTGAGTTCTATCTCGTTACTTGCCCGTCATGTTCAATAGGTCTGCTCAGGTTGTTTTATGATTTACTCTTGTAGAGAAGAAGCAAACTATTGGTATAACAGGAATAAGGAGGGAATTTTGATTCAGGCACTTAACTCCCGAGTCGGATGCCTGCTGAAGCAGGAGGTTTGCCTAGGGCTGTGGGGAAGATTGCCAGACTCAGGTATATGCCAGAAAGAGCGATACACATAATGACAACACCCTGGGCAGCGCTGGGTCGCACCGTACCTCCCCACTTTCTCTGGCAAGTAGCTCTAGCCGCCACCACATCCTCTGAGATGAGATATCATCTGCCTGGCTTCTTGTCTGCTCCCAGGATGTTGCTCATCTGCGGAGGAAGAGGAAGATAATAAACCTTCAGCTCCTCTGACTGCTGAGACACTGATACCTAGGTATTCTTTAGGCAAGTGGAAAGCTTAGAAGGCTTTAGCTTCCCTTTTCACACCAAGCAGTTCCCAAACGGTCTGGCAGATGGTAACTCCAAGATTTTAAGCACCAGTGGGAGAATTAAGAAGTTAAATATTTTCCATCTGACTCCCCTAGGTGAATAGAGATTTGCAGTCTTCATTACAAGATGCAAAGGCAGAGATAATCTACATATCCTGACTTAAAAAGCCAATAAAATAACTTGGTAGGTAACAACGCAGAACAAGTCTGGAAACTATACTGCTTATAAGAGAGGCAAAAGATAAAATATTTTTTTATATAGATATGAACATTCTGAAAGACATGTATTACAGGCAGGATTATCTTTAGTTGGAATGTCCTCAAATTTTGCGTGTCCTCTGAGGGTATCCAGGTTACCAGGATCTTCATGAAAGAGTAAACCACATTTCTTTCCCATTCACATCTTTGTTCTTTATTCCAGAAGATACTCTCTACCATTTAGATGTGAAAAATCCCAAGGGATTACACAGAAGCTAAGAAATGTAAAAATGAAAATAGTTGTAGTGACACAACCCTAAACCTCTACTAAGTGTTAATATCATCCCAGGAAAAAATTCATATGAGGCACTGTAACTGAATGACTCCCATTTCTATGGTCACAAACCACAGAGCTTCAAGAGCATCTTTTTATTATTATTATGTTACTATAAACCATTTTACATGCATTAAAGACTTCCCTCAGTCATGCCCACTCACTTTAGTATTTAACTGCTTGGACTGAAAAATGTGAAAACCCTATAAACATGATAGATTTGGCTCATTTATGCTTTCCTCATCTTCTCATAGAATACATTATTTCAGGTGAGTTTAGCAAAAGTCACTGAGAGACTATTTTTATTTGCACTTAAAAAGCATTTCTATTTCAATCCACTGTTTGCCCAGTGTCCCTACTCTATCCTGCCATGGCAGAGCTGCTATTGTATGAGAAAGAGCTTGGCATAAACATGCACAGTAATATGAACAGTAACCACGGGTACCAAAGCCCCCCACTAGCATTTTTCCAAGTGTCAAATGCCTGTGGTTACCTTTTAGGTACCCACAGCCCCTGTCTCTCTTGACAGCATCTCTTCAGCCAACAAGTCACTGCCTGACAATTTATTAGTGGTTCAAACTACATGAACTGGACTAAATGCATGCTGGTCTCAGGTCTGTGGACTGAGGTGGCAGGTGCTATGCTGAAACAAGTGCATATTATTAACGAAGCTGTGTGGTACTGCCTTGTGCAATATACACCATTAAAGAGATATACAGGAAGGGTAAGGCAAGGAAGAGGCAGGCTTATGGTTCATATTCTTTTATTCAGGGGAACATTTTCATGACACACCTCCCCGAGGAATCTTTGCAATGCGATTCAGATTACATTGCAGCATTTGGCTTGAAGTGTCCCAAACCGCTCTGTTGCTGTGTGAATGTTTTGTCTGATTCAATAGAAGAGCTGTGGGAAGAAAACCGTGCCAAACACCAAATCTTTTCCAGGCATTTCTCTGCACAGCATGGTATCCTGCACAATAACAAAAAACAAATCTCCATTTTGCAACAGTAATGGCTTAAAAGGGCCAGTCTCTGTGAGTATTTGCAATTAAGGTAGAGAAAATATTTACTTCTCCTACAAGATCATGAACATTTGGCTTGAAACATGCCTTAGTATAGTGTCATCCTTTTCTTCAGCCACAATGGGTTATCATTTTTTTCTCCTTTTAACCTCTCCCATCCAGTGCAAAGTCACCTGGCTAGGATTCATTACAGCAATCCCAAACCAGATGAGGCTGTAATACAAATAAAAGTGAATTCAGTGTATCCTAATTGTCAGCCTGAATACCTGTATTAACCAGTACCAGAGAAGTGGGATTCATAACACATTCACCA